TTCTCCTGTCTGGTGCTGACTTCATTAATAACTAAAAATAACTCCGCTGCTTACTTAGAGGTGGTTTGCAATAGTGGTCAAGTGCACAGGTAGGGAGTCAGACACCTGGCTCAAATCACTTTAAACCTGTATGATCTCAGGCAAGTAATTTGACTTTCCTGTGCCTTAGTCTCCATATCTAGAAAGCAGGGATAATAATCATTCTGAAAGAACTGTCTTAACCATTAGATGAATTAATACAAGTAGTATGTTTGGAATCTACCTGCATTGTTGTTATTTTACCAATCATTATATGCCAGAAATAGGTAAAAAAAAACCCTACTGAACATCTTTCTCTTGAGCCATCATGAAATGAGGTAGATAGCATTATCTCCATTTTAAAGAAGAGAAAACCAGTTGTAAACTTTAATTGATTGATTTCACGAATAGAAGAAAACTGACCTGTGATCTTGGTTTCATTTGTTTAGAATTTAGCTCATGGATATCTGCATAGCCTCTCCTGAGGAGGGCTTACAAATTCCTGAAACTTTGGTATCTCTGTTCAAACTTACTAGCAGTGTTTCCTACAACAGTGAAATTATCACTCTCCTAAAAACCCATAGTATGCCAAATTCATTTGTTTGCTCCATTCCTTTAAAATTCTCACATTTCAAAGGCTAGTTACTACTTGCTACTATTTTCTGTTCTTAAAGTCTCAGGGCTGCCCCAACCGCCATCCCAGGCTCCTAGGGCAGAGAAGCTGAGCCACGCAGGTGCCAGAAGCACACCCCCCCACACCCCACCACCGTGGAAATGAGAAGACACATAAACAAGCCTCAAAAACAGACTTCTGGATCACCTACAGCAACCCCAAAGGGAAACAAGATGGAACAATCTGATACTCAACCACCTGGACTCTCCGAACTGGCAACCAAAGAGGATCTGGGAAAAATGAAATCAGAAATAATTACTCAGAAAAAAAAATAATTGCTCAGATAACACCAAAGATTGTGCTCATGGTGCAAGACATGATTAATAAGTCTAAGGATCTGAGGAACATGTTGGAATCCCAACATAGGAAACAAATGGAATCCATAAAACAGATGCAAACAGATTTCCAGGAGATTAAAAACTCCATCGAAAGTCTACGC